ATTGAAATCGGAGGATACATTTTTTGGGAAAATGAACTTAAACATTCAAGTCGAGTTTTAACCTCAAAATCAATTTTTAAGAATTTTTTAAGTTACACCACTAGAAAGAGGAGGAAAAAATCTATCGATCTATGTGTTTTGATTTTTTTTCTGACTCTTAGTAATCGTGTCCGAGCGAACTAAACATACGACACTTTCGGCCAAAAATGCCGTAATCGCGCGGGGTGGCCGACTTATGCTGGACGCGCTCATATAAAGTAAATTAAGGGAATATCACATGAAAATAAAATCATCACTTAGTTTAAATTTTTTAACAGTTATAACAAATTTTTAAAATTGGTACAAAAGTAACGTTTGCCTAGGTATGCAGGGAAGACGCCACCCTGATTGGTGTTAGATGCCATAATGGATTGAAAAACAATTTTTACACCCAGGGCGAATTTCATTTTTATAACACAATTCGTGTATCCTCTTTGAACATTTTCCACATTAACCGTAATCACATTTTGGTTTTTCTACACTGTTATAACTCTTTTTTTGGTGTGGCCATGTTGTCCCTACACTCGTACTGGAATTTTACCCCAAATACCTATATTGTTTTTTAAAGTGTCACAAATAAAAAGATTTATGACTTTGGTAGAACTGCGCCAAAGCAATCGTGAAGACAACACTTATTATTAACAATGAACACTTACACTTAGAATTGAAAAAAACTCAAATAATTAACAGCTGACGCTTACCGAAAAATTCGGAGCAAGCGAGGCTCTTCGATGCTCGAAAATCAACTGATAATACGAAGTGAGTAAAATGTAGCAAAGTGGCATCTTTCCCAAGCTAATGTTTATCCCCAATTGACCTTAACACAAATTTTTGAGGCATACCTAGGTTTTCCCTGTGTATCGTGGAGCACGTTTTCAGTTTGAAAAACATGAAAAAAACGTATGAGTTTTTCTGTAATTGGACTGATTTATATTTGTAAATTGACACTGTCATTGACCGATTTGGGGTTTTCTCAGTTTTCATGGATCAAATTGCCAACTTGTTCTAACTAAGATAAAATATACGAGTCTTTTTCTAATTTGATTGATTTATTCCTAAATTGACATTTTTCAAAATTAATAAAAAAACATCTGGTTGACACGTTCTCAATAAATTTTCCATCAGAGATCTTAGGATCTCTTTGATCGACAGCTTCAACTGAAATAACACCTTCTCGAAAGAAAGGGGTTACAATTCCCTAGTGAAGTACAATCTTTCGAGGTATTCGTACGAAGAAAAATTTATTCAAGGTCGAATTTCACACAGCTGATGCCGAATATAAGGTTGCATAGTCGATCCTAGGCGCCCAGAGGAGAGAGGGCTAGGGAGGAGGGGAGTAACGCACGTTGTAACGCAACGATCATAGGCCGGTCGCATGTGTGTCCGAAAAAACACACATGTGCGTCACATGTGTATCAGTTTTAATACTCGCACGGTGACTGTAAGCAGCGAGAAAATGAAGTGTACAAGGCTTAATTGATTTGAAACGACGAGTGCAGCTACACAATCCCGAGTTTACGAGTGTCTTCGGACTAACTTCGTTCATGTAATTACGCGTAGCATAATGAAAGCCCTAAATTGCGTATCTCTCTTGTGTCGCGCGCGAGCGCATAAAGTGCGCTTCTTTTTATTTTTGCCTCGGCTACTACTGGCAATCGCGCGCGTTAAGATGCTCAACAGCTTATATGCGATGGTACACACGAGCCCACACGTCGATTAAGTCCGACGCGAGCACAACTGAATTAATCGGGCCGTTGAGCGAGAGATAGAAAATCTCGTGTTACTGCTGCTGCTGTTACTCTCGGCCCTCGCTTTGGGATGATCTCGAGAGGCATATATTTTTTTTATATACACATGTATATTCCTGATGATGTATGAGATTTTGTAGGAAAAATATCAAAATCTTGTGGTTTGGAGATACGTTACGTTCATCGAATCTATGGCGCTCGGATACTTATATAGGCGTGTGTATAACGTATAGAGATTCGACTGCGCAGAAGTTCGATAGAAAAATAAAAGAGAAAAAGGACAGAGGATTCTGAAATTTTACGTGAGTGCGTGTGTGGGGTACGAGACTTTGTAGATAAATACTGCTGCTGCTGCTGCTCTCGAAAGCTCTCGAGTTACGCGAGCGCGCGCAACATCAGCGGAAGTGTCCGTAGAAGGAGGTGGGGTTTTTTCATACACATCTTCCATTTACAACAAAAACTGCAAAAGATAGGAGAGAGAAAGAGAGAGAGAGACACCCAAAACTCCGCGCTGCAAGTACCTTTAATAGGCTCCACCCTTAAATATGGAACGAAAGAAAAACTAGTTCCTTTTTCTTTTGTATTGTAGTGCGCGTGCTATCTGCGCCAGGAGCTGCCGCTCCTCCCATTGATGCCTCGAGTATCTTTTTTTCTTCTACTTCGTCTTATTTTCTTGAACTCCGATGTGCCTAGTGCGCACATATACCCCCTTATATAACGTATATAGAAGATGATGATGAAAATGAGGGTTGTTACGGGCGCGCGCGAGCGAGAGCAGTGCCTTATTAAGGGTGTTGTTGCACGCACTCGAAAAAGTACGGACTTCATTGTTGTAAATGTGTGTGTGTTGTAGCCGCGACAGATGCTCGCGAATCTCAATTGTTAAATACCCATGAACTTTTTCTTCGATGAAAAACGAGAGGAACGACGGTTGGTATGGCCGCGCGCACGTGTGCATCGCGCCGTTTTTTATATTCCACATACGAGAAATAAATAAAAAAAAAGGAATTACATCCTTTTGATTAAGGCAAAAGCATATAGGCAAAAAAAAACGAAGAATCATCGACGCGACGACGGACACATATTGAGAGTATATAGAAACTAATCGAAATGCATCGAAGCGCGCATATAACGTATATATCGCTAGCCGAGAGAGAGGCCCGAGACGGTTGTCGATCGGTAGGCAGTGCGTCGTGCGTCCATAAAGTCTCTGTCTCTGTCTCTGTCTCTCTCTACGCATCATGCAGTATAGGCAGAAGCGGCAGTGCTTACTTGCGTATATATGTGCGCGGCTGTCTGTGCATCGTGCGCGTGCAGAGGTGGCGGCCCTTTTTTGGACGACGATATTATATGCATGAGCGGTGCTTGCGTCTGCCTGCCTATGACGTCGTTCGGCGCGTATCGTTCGACAGAGACGGAGAACGAAAGAGATGCGTATGTATTTATCATGCGATATTATTAAGTCCTTATAGTTGACCTCGTCTCGGTATATATTATATGCGAGCGAACCTCCGTCGTCGACGTCGCCACAAGGTACGACGGCAGCAGCCACCAACATCGAAGTCGTCGGAGTACGGCGCATGTAGCGAAAATTGTAATTTCCAGTCGTCTATATATATTTCTCTGATTTGCCTGTACGATTAGAGGCATAATATACGGTATATTATCATTAGCTCACATACGCGTGTACACACATTGGGTCAGTGTTTTTATCGAATATTTTAACGATGAGTCAGTTGCGAGTTTAATTAAAAAAAGAAAAAGTATTCGCGCAGCCGTGCTATACAATGCGACATTTGCGCCGAGATCGTTCATGAATATTATAAAAGCTGCGTGCGCGATTACAAACGAGCGCGATATAACCCACAACGTCGCAACGTTATTTTTTCCTCCTTTTCAATTTTTTTTTCATTTGCAATTTGACGATGATTTCGAAAGTTTATATATAGGCGACACATCGGCACGGCCTATCGTGCGGTGCTCTCGATTAGGAGTCGCATCGAGTAACATACAATGAATCGCGACGTTTGCGTGAGCTACTATTAAAGTGTGTGTATTTGTACGTATCGAAGCGTAAACAGTTGCAGCAGAAGAGCCGTTTCGGGACTTTCGCCGTTGCGGCGGCGACGGTGCATCGACTCTCTGGCATCGGGTTTATTATAGCCACGCGCGCAAGAAGAGGCCCCGATTCTTTATACGGTCGCTCGAGCCGTTGTCTATATTATCCACCCGCGCGGCTGTATACGTACGAATTCGTGACGCAATATCTCCTCGTCTTTTCTAACTGTAATTGCCCCTTCGAGGAGTAACTAGACCGAACGCGGCGCGCGGGCCGCCGTGCGCTGTTTTGCGTACACATACGTACGTACAATCCAGAGAGCTGTATATATGTCTGTCTCGTCTGCATTTCGCAAATTTATGTTCTCTCTCACACGCAAAAGTCGAATACAATAGCGATTACAAATAGACTCGACATGATACTCTTCGTACCTATATATATAATAATGATAATAATAATGTACTCGCGGCTACCAGTGCCGAGTGCAGCAGTACGCCAGCTCTTCGAATTTATCGTCTTTTTATCGTTTTGGCTCGAAAATAAAAACATGAAGAAAGAAAAAAGGGAACGCGAAGCGAAATATAAGAAACGCGTAGTAACGATAAATCGAAAATGAAAATCATAAAGCTGCGCACAGGTAGAGTGAAGGAACGAGAGAGAGAGAGAGAGAGGCATAATGAGCGAGAGACACGTTAGTAGTATCGCAACTGCATATATACCGAGCGATGCGCTTCGAGTATGTGTGGCAGGCCACTATGCCGCGCGAGCGCACACGCGAGAGACGTTAATGCAACTTTGGAATAGATGCTATCACAGCGACACACACACACATACACAAACTCGAATGCAGTGCACAACACACAGAGTGCGCGAGGGAAGGCGGACTCTCTGGCTCTCTTTGACGTAACAATGAGAAATACACGGCGTCGGCTTTCGTTTGCATTACAATTGGCCAAGAAAAACGAGCTTGTCGCGATATATATTTTTGTCGTACAGCTCGTATACTCGTCGTTATATAGCTGCTGCTACTACTACTACTACACTACACACTACCCACAGTGGGAAAAAAACATTTGTATTTGCGCGCGCGCGCGTGGCATAATTTATGTACGCGTATATAACAACAACAATAATTTGGCTAAAAAAAAACTTACCGTCGGTGTGATAAGACCTAGTGGGTGGCATGGCCGAAAGATTCTGCGGCGATGATCGAGCGTTATTGTTGGCTATCACGGGTTTCGTCTCTCTCGGATGCTGCTGGTGCTGCTGCTGTGAATGATTATTGCTGACCCCTTGCTGCTGCTGATGCTGTTGCTGCTGTTGCTGTTGCTGCTGTTGATGCTGCTGTTGACTGTAACTCAAGTAATCGCCCAAATCGGGCATGCATACGGACTCGTACAGGTTCGACGGCATGTTCTCCAGCGAAGCTTTCTCGTTATCGACATCTACGAAAAAAAAATTAACGAAGAGAAAAATTAAAGATACGAAAATTATACACTTTAATTTGGCATATATATGTGAATTATGAATCTTGATGTAGGCAGGCGCACGCGCGGGCGGACATTGCACATTGATAATGAAACCCGAGCGAGCGAAATTTCATATACGCACACGCTTTCAAGTTTATATACTATATACGCAGTCGGAGCAATTTGCGCAACGGTCATTGTTAAAAATTCGTTATTTTTTTCGCGTATATAGATATAATTAATCGAGATAAGAGAGAGCCAAAAGTTGTACATCGTATATAGTTCAAGTTTGTTATTTTACAACTCCCCCTTGCAGCAATCCGTTATATTCAATTACTCGGCGGCGGAGGCAAAGGTTATTGCGTTAAAGCTCGCTTCTTCTTTTGTAAACCCTCGAAAAAATCATGCATACGATCGACTACTACTATACAGCGTGTACCATATAGTAATATAAAAAAAGAAAATTGCAATCGCACACACGTGTCTATATGGCATGGCTCTGCTACCGCGGCGAGCGATGCACTTGCTCCCATCGTTTAGAGCTTTGTATAGTATTAATTTTTATCTGCGCCTATACGAGACACTACATACATACTGCTACAACAGGTTTATTTTCATTGGCGCGCAGTGCGCGCGCGTGTGTGTGTGCGGCTCGGTGCAGTTAGATGGTGAGGCCATCGTTACGGCTATATAATATATACACGATAACGTCGCCAGGGCGCGCGTTGTTTCGCATGCTCGCTCTCGAAACAAAGGCAGAGTATATACGTATATAGAGTGAGAGAGAGAAAGAAAGATTCCGATCTCTCTCTCTCTTTTTTTAGGCGCTATATATATATTCAGGCTCGAGAATCGCATTGCAAAAGGCCCCCGACGCATGTGAGGGAGGAGAGTGGGAGGAAGGGGGACATTAACCGAGGCAAATTACGCAGCGCACCGAGGTGTACGCCCTCGACTGAACCTATCTCTCTCTCTGTCTCTCTTATACTCTTTCTCTTTTGCGAGCGCGCGAAATACAGCAACTGCTACTGCACACAGGCAGTGTATAACGAAAAGGAGAAAAAAAACAACAACAACTACGACGCGACAGCGACAAGTACGACACGAACACGAGCAACCCATTGGAAAACGTGTGTCCTCCTCGCGCGCGCGCGCGCGCGGGTTACGGATCGTCGGATGCTGCTACTACTGCCCGCGTGCAGAAAGGGAGAAATCGAAGCTTCCTGCTTCGTGCTTTTTTGCTGCTACTGCTGCTGCTACTCCTGCACTTTATATCCTGCACGCGCGAAAAGAGCCTAGGTGACGCTTTACTTTTGACCTTTTACGAAACCGCGCGCGCGGCAAAATTTTTTTGCGAAATTGAGCATGCAGCAGCTATTATAAACGACGCGACTTTCCTTTCGCGCGTGATTTGATTTTTCGTAACGGTATAATTCGCGGGAAACGGGACGACACGCGCGTGCACTGTGTCTGCTATTTATTTTCCCATTTATTCATTTTTTTTTTGGAAATTAGCTATTATTTATTTTATTTGTTTCTTTTTGACATGAACGCATGAATGAAACGTGCGTACGAACGAATGAATGAATGCGAGAATGAATGAATGAAAATGTATAAAAAGAGCAAGTGCGCCACGGATTGACCGTAAGGGCCCTCGACTCACAAATCCCCGATTCGAGCACAAAATTGTCAATCGCATAATATAATGAAAGGTAAGAAAAAAAAACTTTCACTCAGATGTCTGTGTGTGTTTGTATATGCTCTCGTACGCAAGTACGCGCGTGGTGTAGGCCCCTCTTCTAGATTTCAAAACGTCACTCGTACACATCAATAGCACAACATAATCACATCCCCGCGCGCGTCCACGGAAGCCGTCGTTTTTCGTCTTTCTTTACACTTTATATTATATATTATATATGCGCCAAAGAAAAAAAGGCCCATCGATGAATTTGTGTATGGCCTATACATATATTTGGCCAAATGAATGAGGTCGATTTGCGTGTCTATATGGCACATAATACCTGCTTAATGTGATCTTTATATGTGCGTATGGATGTATAAGCAAAGTGCGCACTCTACTCCGCAGCACCCGCGTCTCCACTCTCTTGTGGCTATTATGCTGCATTTCCGGAGACTGCCAGCTGACGTCGTATTATATATACAGCACATATACCTATAAGCAGGGCCATTTCTCTTCTCGAGATCAGAAAAGGAGAGAGAGAGAGAGAGGAGAGCGAAGCTACCTGTTGCTGCCCTCATCATCGGCCCGTGGAGATGAGTACGCGCGATTTTGTCGTTGCTCTCGCCGATACGCTATTATACGGAAATCTGATCTATTTTTCACCAATATATATATTAGACCGAATCTCAACAATGTCCAGAGTCACGACAGGATGTAAGAGAGACATGCTCATGCTCTTTTCTATCCGCGCGCGTCGATGCTTTCGCTTCTTTGCTTTTTTTTTCTCTCTATCGCGATCGAACTGTTCTCCTTGATTCGTCTTTTCGCGTTGCATTGACACGGAAAAACGCGATCGCAATCGAACTGCAAGTGGCTTTTCGAGCGTCGATTACATCGTCCTGTATATATAAAGTAAAAGCCGCGCCCCCTTCGTCGTCTTACCTTTCTGAAGAATTTCGAGATGCTCCCAGAGTATGTCGCCCATGAAGACCGGTGCATGTGCCAGGAACGACTCCTTGCCCATGTTGCAGATCTGCTTGCCGGTCATGTTCTGCCAAGGCTGCATGGCCACGCCCTCGAGTGAAAATTCGCCGATGGCCCATTGAAGCCAGTGCTTTACCGCCGATTCCGTCCATTGGCGTGGATCTGCAAAAAAACATTTATACGTATATTCAGCATCTTTGTACACATGAATAATATTTTTCGATACCCGATGGAAAAACAAAATGAGTAATCCACACTTTGTTGGGGAATTCAAATGCAGAGCTTTATCTTTAGTTAGAAATAGATGTAAAACGTGTGAACTTTTCATTAGAGCCCTATACAGAGGAAAAAAAATATGAGTAAAAACCAACGTTTTTTCCATTATAAATCAGCGGTGAATATACACTTGGTTAGTGCGTGACGCGCGCGCGCGCAAATACGCACACGAGCGCTGTTAAATATATAGCATAGGGAGCGAGCTTAAATAGGCGCGTCGCGGCGCGTTTCTCCGCACATTTGTCTGCTTTTCCGAATGGGACCCGTCCTGCGCTCGGAGAGAAATAGAGATCAAAAGCGATCGGCCGACGAGGCAATAGGCCATCGATGATGATGATGTGTGTGCACACATATTATACATAATATATACACACGCACCAGCTCTCTTCGGTGTATATATTTGCTCTCGCGCGCGAGCGATGATTCTCTATGCTTAAGAGCTCAATGCCTCGAACTATACGGAACAGCAAGAGAGAGAGAGAAGACCTTCTCGGTAAAATTTTTCAGGAAGAAAGGATATAGCTCCGGTGTATATATAGATATATTGGAAATGCCCAGTCGGCCGTGATACTTCCGAATACACTTGTGTGTGTTGCCGCTGCCGCTGCTGCTTCGTCGCTCTGTGTACCGAGGTTTTTTTTCAAGTGCTCGTGCCTCACTACTGGCTATACGCACACGGCCTAATAAACGATTATGATCTGCGGGTGACGCGCGCGACTCTCAAGAGGTGGACATTGAAAAAGTGGAGAAAAAAAAAGTAATAATAAAAGAGACCGAATAAAAAAAGCGGTTTGATACAGTTACCGAGAGACACAACAACACTCATGACCATAAAAAAAAAAAGCTAAATAAAAAAAACACTTTGGCAATGATGGGGAGCCGATGCACTGCTCCGAGAGTATATACGCGTGCGCGTGTATGTGTGTGTGTATGCGTATATAGCTCGCATCCGGTATGCGCATTCAGAAGCACGCGGCTGTGACGATACTTCCTCTCCTGCTGCTGCTGCTGCCGCTGGATTCTTACGTTATATATGTGTTGTTGATGCCTCGCGTACACTCTTTCTTTCTTTCTCTTTCACCATGGCTTTGACTCGATTTTGCGCGTTCGAGTATGTATACATACATTATGTAGGCGAAACAAAAAATTTATATTAAAATCCGAAAACCAGATCAGCGCCACTCACCGATTTGGAATAATGTACGTACTAACGGTAACGAGAGGCATGCGTGCGCGGGCGCGGGGATTAATTATTTGGAATTTTTCTTCTGTCGCCAGCGTCTATCGGTGTGTCGCGTACATAACTACAAGAGTAACGTGCACGTACATACCACTTTTTTTCGCAATAGAAACCCGAAAAAACGAGTATTTCGAATCGGATTAAAATAAAAAGAGAATAAAAGCTTGTCGCGCCCGCGCCTCAAAAGAAATTCCTTATGATTTGTCGCGCGCGCCCGTCGTCGTCTCTTTCTCGGCTCGGCTCCTGGCATTCAAGCAAACCTTTTCTTTTTTATCCTTTTTTAATTAAGATACGCTCGTGTATGTACAAGAAAAAATTTACTCGTTTTTCGTCATCTTACAATACGTAGTACGCCAGGGCCCATGGAGGCCCATGCACACGCGAGCCAAGACATACGTTCCTTAGTATTCATAAAAACTATAGATGTATATATATATAGTAGCCGAGTGCATTGTGTACTGACCTTTGGTTATATTGAGGCGAATTTGTTCCTTTTCCCACGAGGCGAAGGAGGCCTTCAAGGCTTCGGTCATCTTCTTGTTCGTGCCAGGTGTCAGCGGTGGCACTTGCGCCGGTATATCTGCAACAGACAAAAATGACAAATATGCAATAAATATCAACGATCCACATATCCATCGCACACGTGTACTACTTTCTTCGTACATATCTATGTATACATTAATATAATACATGCATCGATTCTAAATTGCACACATGTGTATTTTTTTTCCTTTACATTCTACTCTCTGTACGAGTACATGTAAATGCTTTCAAGTCGAGGGTGACGCGCGAAAAGGGTCCCGTCTCTGCTGCGCTCGCTCCTCGTGTTGTGACATTTGCGTTCGAGTATTGTCTCTCATGTCTGTTATAGTCTGACATTGGCCCGCATAAATAGATGCGTGGGTATATGTATTGAAGAAAAAGACTGTGAGAAAAGCTCGATTATCGAATAACACGCGAGCACAACGACTAGTATGGCTTTAAGTAATGTAGAGAACAAATTTTTATCTATAAAAAGTACACTCGTGTATTTTTCGACGAAAAGAATTAGTTGACTTTTCCCTGCTCTCTTTTTGCTTGTTTTTTCCGAGACACGCCAAGGCCATCGGTAATTTTTGGCTCGATATACGCGAATGACCCTTTGACGTACGTAGCTCTCTCATACACCCACCCACAAGCTCGCGCTCGAGTCGAGAGAAACGAGAGCAAAGCACAGTAGTTCACGAAACGAGCCATTTCCTTTGCGCTCGTCTCGCGCGCGCGCCCGACGCGCAGCAGCAAGTGCAAAACCCACGCGACTAATTGTCAAGCTTGGAAAATACACGCGCTCTCGGGATTTTTTTCTTTATTCTCTCTCTGTCTTGTGTTTTCGAAAGAAGAACTGCAATCCACGCCAGTTAACGCGCAAAAATTTCGTTAATTTCTTCATACACAATAGCGCACGAAGCCGCTGCATACACTTTATGTGCGTTATGGCAGAGCCGCAGGGAGAAACAAAACGAAGCTGACTTTAATTACGTTATATATATACGCGCATACTGAAACGAGCCTCATCCACCCACGCATAATTTTCGATGAGTCTGCCACTGTCTGCGTGCTATATATAAGTGTGTGTCTGTGTGTGTATATACGCGTGCTCTCTGGAGCGCGACGACTCCGAGGCTCTCTTCGCGAAAAAAGGGGTTTGCCTGCGCCTATATACCTACGTACCTACTGCTAGCACACAACTACGCAGACAAGGTGCGCGTCGTCGTACATATGTACACACGTGTGCGTGTATAAAAATACGTACACGCGCACACACATACACAAGCGCGGGTTGGGAGTGTCACGGAGTGAGACACACAGAGTCGAGTAAGTGAGCTTGCGTGTGAGAATCGCCATTAGGACGGCTTCTCACACGGTAATACATACACACACGCACACGGATCCCATTGTCTGTGTGGTGGCCCTTATAACTGCGAGCCCGAGCGGCAATGCAAGTAGCTTTCGTGAGCGCGTCAGGTGCGTCGCGCCGCACACAGCTCGCCCCCGATATACCATCGCGATGATGATGATGATGATGATGATTCGCTGACGTCGTCGTCGTCGTTGCTCTCCCTATTTTATAAAAAGTGAGAGAGAGAGTAAATTTGCTGCTCTTTGCTATGATAGCATCACGTGTGCGTATATGCCAGCACGCAGGTGTTTTTTTTCCTTGTAAAACTAATTTTTTCTTTTCGTCATATATATTACACCATAATTTTTTTTTCTTTCTAATATATTAATTATAATTTACGAGCGTGCAACGAGTGTACATGTAGCTCGTTGAAACTACTATATTATATGAGTGCAGGCTCGCGTATAACTACATACGTTTTTTTCTATCGCAATTGTCGCGTTATCGTTATCTGGTGTATATACTCGTCAGGCTTTCTCTCTTTCTCTCTCCTTTTTTTCCTCGCACGAAGACAACAACGGACGAGAGAAAAAACGATGATGTTCTGGCGCTGGTGATCAACCGCAGAGTTTTATGTTCAACACGACGTGTAAACACAATTTTTTACATTTTCAGATCGTCCCAAAGATTGTTGCTTATTACAGATAAATTATACGATTTCGTATAATCCTCGTTTTTGTATAGTGTTTATGCGACGAGCTCAGCCCAAAATTAAAATAAAAGATTCACGTGCACGAGCGCACGCGCGCGTGAACTCGTCCGTGGATTCATCTTTTTTTTTTGTGTCGTTGTCAACTTTTAATCATCGCAACAATAAACGCACGAGTTGTGTGGGTCACTCGGTCTTTATTTTTATTTTTGTGGGTTTTGGCATAAAAATATAATAGGGCCACAATGCTCGGTACAAAGAAGAGACTTAAATATTAAATCGATCGTGTCAAGATACATCGTTATATACGACAAATCTGCGCGCGCTATAATAAGCTACGTACACTCACAAAAGAAGGAATTAAATATTCCGCAAAATCGTGGCGTTGCCGTGTGTACAACATACACATATCGCCCAAATACACGCGGCACACACAGCGCCACGCACTATCTTATATAGCGCGCAATATCGAGGCTCATTAGCATGTGAATCGACGTATTTAAATTTTCTAAAATAAGGATCGCTCGGTTTTATTTATTTATTTTCTTTCTTTTCTCATTTCTGGCTCCGAAATATATATTTCGTATCTATCTGTCGTTGCAAATTATTTTAAACGAAATCTCGCGCACGCACTACGGCAACATCGAGTTGACGCGATAGATCGTTTGACTGCTGCGAGCGAGCGTTGCTGATCGTCAATTTCGTGAAACGAAGAATTTTAATTCGGATTGACCGACTCGAGTTGCTGCGTGTGCTGTATGCTTTACAATTATATATACGAATACACGGGGTCAATCGACACCTATAACCTCAGCCGGAGTCGCGCGCATACATTTACATAAGCGCCCGATATAATACGTGTAGTCGCGGCGACACAGGCGCGCACGCGCTCGATCGTTATTATTTCGTGCTCTCTCTCTCTCTCTCTCTCTCTGTTGTGGCTTATATACAGTTTTTTTTTGTTGTAACGCAGTTAATCGCTTCGATGTAAGGCTTCTTTGTCGTTGTTATTTTAAATCTTTTATTTATATTTATTAATTTTTTCCATAGCTTTTTTACTTCATAATTCACGTATATACTTGAGCGTTCTCCGATCCTGAGAAAAAAAAGCAAGCCTGCCGACACTTGTACTTTTCATATCACAGTCACGCTATATAAAGCGCGAAGGTAATTCATATCTAGACAGAGAGGGAGTGCTGGAAAAAAAAATAGCGCAATGCATCAGCGGTAAGCAACAACAACCTAAGAGCAAGCGAGAGTAAGAAGAATCCACGTAGCCGTATTCATATAAAAATTATAGTTGCCGAGTAGTAGCACAAGAGCGTGTCATATGGGGCAGTCGAGCGCACTAGGCAGGAACCGCACGACGTCGACCGTCTGTGTTATGTGTGGGTGAGCGTCTATTTGTGCACTGCATAAACGAGCTCGAAAGAAAAAGCTATATGCGATGTGCTCTACTCGCGGCAAGCGCACACTTATATATATTTATACAGCGAAGCAACGCGCGCCCGAGCACGTGACTCCTATATTTTCGCACACACACACGAGTCTGGAGTTTATTAAATATAATCTGGAAAAAAGTGTGCGCTAGTTTACCGCGTACGAACACGAGTCAGTGCTTCTCTTTGTACGTTAACTGATAGTACACGATAGTGCACACATGCGTTGTTGTATACCTGTTGCTGCGTCGGGCAATGTCATTGCTCGAGCTTTAGTACACCCCTAAATATAAAAGTATCTCGCAACTTGCACCCGAGAAAGAGAGAGAGAGAGAGAGAGAGAGGCGAGCGGGCGACGCGGTGCACCTGTTGACTCGAGCGAGAGAGCTGCTCACTTGCGTCGCATTAATCACGCCCGTTGACTCCCTTGTGCGAACGTGTGTGTTTGTGTACACACACGTATATAGTATCGTGGCAGTAAACTCTCCCCCTTGCTACAATACAGCGCCTAACTGCTGCTACCGCTATATATACGTACAACACTATATATAACGCATGCCAGTGCGGAATACAAGCTCACCACCGAGCGATAATTTCATAAAATTAAGCTACTCGCATGACGCGCGAGTAATTGCCGGGCGAGCTTGTGTCTTATGTATAGTATTAAAATAAAAAATTTACACCTGAGCGCACTTGCTGCCTATATTTGTTTGAATATAAAATGAAAAGTTCTCAACTCTTGACGGACGAATTACAACAAACTCACCGCAATCGGGCACTCTACCTATAATATAACACTCCCTCGCGCGTTCGATTGGCACCAGGGGCAACAGCAAGGGCGCATATGGAAAGCGCATAATCATCCTCTCCGTCTGTTGATACCAGCGCGCGAGGTATATACGTGTACATCGCAAGGGCGTCCACCGACTCGGTGCTATAGAGCGAGAGAGCGAGAGAGAGTGCAGGCGGTGAACGGCATTTTTCACATACATATAGGTAAGTGAGTGTGCACCTGTCGCACTTTTTATTTTCAAACGCGTACCACATACTGACGTACACAAGTGCGTATATGTGTGTCTGTGTGTATTATACGCATTAACATAAGAGATATGATCAACCGTTTATCTGTTATACTTTGAATTTTTTTTTCTTCACCTGTCGTCTCTCTCTCGCTCTCTTAGCCTTTGCGCCCTGTACGCCACAATACGTATACGCGCGCGGTTCAGTGCTTAACAGATTTTTTTATTTATAGCTCGGCAATGGGCTTATTACGCAACGATTTCTCAAAGGCGTATAATATATACGAGTAATTGTCCAAAAAGAGAAAAATATATTTATAAAATTCGAACCTCGAGTCGTTAGGAATAATCCGCTCGGCAACGGTAGCTTATACGCGCATTTATACGCGTTATACATAATATAAAACATAAAACATATATATGAGCAAGTAACAACCTCGGGGAGAGTAGCAGCAGCAGCATTATACATTTTATGCAACGAATTACACGCTATTAGGTTATATCGCGAGCGTAAAACAGCTCTCTTGGAAGCTC